AATCGTTTCAATGCGAGACGCGTTCCAACGTTGCTTCTATCGCAGCTCGCGATTTAAACGCGATTTCAGTTTCTCTTTTCATCTGGATGTCGGGGGTAAATTTATTTTGTCGCGGAATAACGTGGGAAATTCTATCATTTGACGTTCATTTGGTGTTCGTCGATGTACCATCGAATGGGAGGGAATTCGAACAGTTGAATTTATAATTGTATTAATTGTAATTAAGTTTAATTGTCACAACGTAATTATTTCGGTGGACTTTCCCTTTTTATCGTTTAGAAATTATAGAATTCTCGAAGCAAATTCCGGAGCATGAAGATGAATATATTTATCATAAGAGAACATTCGCGGATATTTCATGAAATAGAGATACGGAACGTGTCAAACGAAACTGTTAACTTCTATAAATGATTTTTATCATTTTTATTTGCAGAATTTTTAGCTTTTATGATAAATCAATTCTTTCAAGATGACGTTGTACGATAAGAGTTTGACTTTATTATAACAGAATTGTTCGGTGTTCAGCACAAGTTCAGGAAATAAATATTTCTTATTTGACCAAAATGATATGAAATAATATAGGATTCAATAAATACAATGTATTTCATGAAAAAAAATTACAGTTATTTGTATCTAATTGGCAACTTTAACAGTTTCATTTGATCTTCATTTATTTGAAAATTCGTAGATATTGAAAACAAGTCGACTCTATTATACAAGGATGTTTCACCTAACACTCATTAACTTGATTCATGTTTATTATAATCAAAAATGAATGATCAAGGATACGCAGAACGAAATTGTATAAACGAAAAGTTTATACATAATATAATATTCAACATGAATTGAATATCATATTATACAAATATGAATATCATATTATTGTTTACACAAACATCAAGTTTTTCATCGAAGCAACATCTTTCATTCGATGAACAACTATTCGACATTGTATACGTTCCTTCAACTATGGAAAAATAATTACATATTCGCCGTAATTTTGTTGACCAAGTAAGTTGTTTCATCGAACAGATTCTACCGAAAGAAAACGTGACGGTGAGGTATTCGTTCGGTGTGAAAGAAAAGAGCCCTCGTCAGCCAGAATTCTCGTGGGACTTTGTCGACTGGGAGAAGTGCAGCGCGAATTGCGGGCCCGGTGAACAGATTTCTAAGCCTCGTTGCCTGGAGAAACTCGCCGGCATCGTGGACGAGACGTTTTGTAAAAGCATTCCCAGGCCGGAGGAAAAAATAAAACCTTGCTATAGGGCACCCTGCCTGCCGAGGTTAGAACGACACGTTCGTCAGATACTTTTTAATTAAAAAATACCGAAAGCTGAATGAATACCGCGGAGTTACTTGAAATTTTATTTATATACTGTATCTCACGTTATTATTAGTATTATACACTGGCAGAGAAAAGAAAGTATTAAAAAAATTATTAGAAAGATTACGTTTAATAGAAACAATAAATAAATGTGAAATACAGATACAGATTGTTCAGGATAGCTGCTATGTAGAATATAATTTAGATTTTAAAAAAGAATATAATTTAGTAAAATAAAGAAAGAATATAAATAAAGAAATAAATAAAGAAATAAATAAAGAAAGAAAGAATATAGAAATAAAGAAATAAATAAATAAATAAATAAATAAAGAAAAAATATAATTTAGTAAAATATTAATACTTAATATTCAAAATTTTATTTTATTAGAATACGTACAAGCAATTGATGATCCAGGTAATCCTATTGGATGAATGGAAGCTTAATTTGTAAAAATAAAATGTAGAGGTCGATTTTTTAAATTCAAATTATTATAATGCTTCTTCTGTCCGCTATATTATTATATTACTGTTGTATGTCATTATTATTACTACAAGTTTCGGATTTCAAATTCAAGAGACCTAAATTCGTATGATAGAATTAAGAATTGGGGATGGCTGTGATACGAGTTTCAATTTTTGAACCAGTTATAAGAAACAATCTTGAAATAATGATGAATAAAAAAGATTCTGACTTAGGTACACGTATCAGCTTTAATTCCAGTTCTGTGGAACCAATATTATTCAAAGATATCTGTTACATAGCCAGCACAAAATCAATATCGAACCGATATAACATGTAATGTAATATAAATTTATGACCCAGTGAATCTTTCACTCGTAATGAAACCAATAAAAGCCGGAATTCGTCTCATAAATTACTTCGGTTTCAATGAAAATTTTACACAAAACTTTCACATGATATATTGGGCATTTTGATAGATTCTTCTATCAAACCTCTACATGGATTGCTAAACATCCAGAGAGAAATCGAGAAAAAAAAAAGAATCATAACACACGACGTTATAAGAGACATCGTTTAAAGAGAGAACGTTTCTGAACCTAATTTACCGAAATGATAGCGACATTGTTCGTTAGATGGATGATCGGTGACTGGCAAGGTTGCACATCCTGCGTCGCTGGTTGCGAGCAGAGACGAACCGTCAAATGTGTACGTCCTGTTGGCCACTCTGAACAGGATGTAGATATTATCGCTGACAGCTACTGTCAAGGACCGAAGCCGAAAGAACGAGAATCCTGCGCCAACCGAGAGAAACGGGACGACGTTCTAAAACACGAGCAAAGGAAGAAAAGTACGTATCTACTCTCTATCCCGTTTCCACTCGGTCGAGTAATCTAACGATCGATCGGCGTCGTTAAATCAATCGCCGAAGATGAATATACCAAGCGTCCGAGTCCGTTGAAACGATTCAATTTGTAACAGTGACTTTGTTCGATTAATTCTATTATGGAGTCGGACATCAATAACTCGAGTCTCAGGGGAAGAGAGGAGATCTCCTTTCGAATTATACAGCTTTCGTCTTGTCGAGTAAAAGAAGTTTAATAAGCGAAAATTTCACTAATGGATGATTTTCACGATCGTTAGTTTCTCGACCCGTGTAAGAAAGTTCTTTTTTTCTAATTTCTTTTACGTTTAGCACTCATTTCATTAGTAAAGCCTGAAGAAGATTATTAACAGATTATTTTATTAACGATTCTTTCTGTGCAATTTTATATTTTCGTGAATATAAATCAAAGAAATTTGCTTCCACTATGAAACGACAATACTTTATTGACAAATACTTTACTTTGGATATTTTCTATATTTTTGAATATTACGAATATTCTTTAAGAAAATTCTTAATTGTTTCTTCCTGTTCTGGTGATCAAATATGTATTATTGTCATTATTATTAGATACAGATTATATCAAATATCCTACAGGGAAAAATAAATTTAAAAATTTACCACTCCAATTCTTAACGAAACATATTGAAAATCTATTTTATCGGCGAGGTCTTAAACGAAAAAGTTTTCTACATTTTTCACTCACTTCCAAATTCAAGGATATAATTCAACAAATTTTCAAATTCGACTTTTTCAAAAACCAAGTCTCAAATGAGAAAATAGAGTTTTCCGAGTTACAGAAGCTCGAGTTACCGGGATTCGACTGTATTTATAAATCAATATTAGAAAATTTCAATATCAGAGACTTTCATCGAATTTCATTTTTTAACTTATAGCTATCTTTCTCGCAAATTTCTCGAATTAGCTTACAATTATCATTATCGCGTTTCCATTTATTTGTCTGATACGTGGCTTGAAAAGATCACGAAAGTGAAGGCAATTATCGTGTGATTCAGACGGTGAACGTCTCTCTCTAAAAGGAAATTGGAAACTCGGACGAAGCACGGAGAGGAAGCAAAGAAAGTTGACGACGTAAAGAAGGGCAAAGTCGTGGTCGACACGGAAGATATTAAAAATTTAACGCTCACCATCATCTTGGAACGAGACGGGGCAAACGATGCTCTCAATTTTCCCAAGGATTTCGAACCGCAACCACCGGGCAACAGCACGAAATTTACTTTAGTTGGAATGGATGCGATCAGATATATACGGAAAATTCAAGAAGACGCTGAAGCTGCTTCGAAACAACGTTCCCAATAATTAAATAACAGAAGTTGCTCTGTGTAACACAAGTGCTTCGATCAAAGTTTCAGTTGCAATCAATAAAGTTGCATTGGACATATCGTGCGTTAAATGTCGCGTAGCAATATGAAAGTCGTATCCTCTTAAATGTAATAATTAAACTAGTAATCTCTGACAGAATGATGGATCGTCAGCTTTAAATCTGTAATAGCGATCGTACTGACAGTGCATAAAATAAAATATTTGTTAAAATATTAATGTATCGATTAAGAATACGATAACCGGTCGTCAGTTTTTGTTTTTCGTCCCGCGTCGTTCAATTTTCTGGGATTATATACTGTTACGAAGATTCAGGTATCATCGACGTAGATTCATTTTTTTTTTTTTTTTTAATAGACATTAGTGATGCCAATTAAATTAATGTTTGCGAAGGAAGCCATAAATTCAGAAAATTATGAAAATCATGAAAACAGAAGTTAGTTCTTCTACAAACATTTCTAGAGAATATATGGACCCGTATTAATACGTATTAATTTTGTTGAAATTTAATAAAATATATGACACGTATTTTTTTTACAAGGTGAAGATTGAAGCTCTATGAAAAGTTTATATATACAAATTTCACATGGAGATAGATTAATATTCAATAAGAAAATTCAAATTTTTAATTATTTAATTTAATTTAAGATCGTTATTAAGTTTCATTTCTTTTTTTCAATTTCTGATTATTAGAAATACTTCATATTTTAATTATTAGAAATGCATTAATGGCCAGAAAAAGGTATCAAATATCTTACTGAGAAAATTTCATCAAAATTGACTTGTACGAGTTTTCCAATATGCTTTCTCATGAAGAATAAAATACTAAAAGTGAATCTTGTTAATATCTTACACAGAAAGATCTATATTTCTCAATACTACTTCTACTTGCATGCACTAACAGTCGATTAATAAATAGTATCAAATCAATTATCCTTTATAAATACCAAACATGCTACTGCATAATTCAAAAAATTCACGTCTCGCTTTTGCTAGTCGGCCAAGTCGACGATTTTAGACAATCCAGCGTAGCTGTAATTCTCTTTCTTGAGAGGCAAACCGGTAAGATTACGACCCTGCAGCCTTTCAATCATCTCGACAGCCTTCGTCCCTGTATACATCTTCATTCTGGAAGTGTCGATACTGCCACTAACGATATCACCGACTTCTTGAAACGCTCTGTCCGACAAATTCGTTTGCAGATTCTCTTCTAAGTAAGGCGCCTGGAACAACACCACATCCTCGACTGGTACCGAGTCTTTAATGATCGTTCCAGGCTTTGGGGTAGACACGTTTCGGTCGCAGGCACCGCGTTTCCTCTTCTCTTCGTCGGCCAGTGACCATTCGCGAAATAGCTGCCGGAAATCGGCCGTGTCAATAGCCGTTCTCGAGTCCTCGGCCTCGCGACGGACACCGTACGACTTTTCCAGATACCGGGCCAAACTCAAGTCCACGAACTTATCGACCATCTTAGCTCGTTCCTCGGGACGCAGTGATTGCTTCTTTTCCGGTTCAACGACCACCTCTTTGTTCGCGTTCCGGGCCTCTTTTCGGCAAATTTTCTTGCACGGCCTTTCGCCTGCAAGCAAGCAGACGGAGATTTGATCAAGACACACGAAGATACTTTTATATTTTTCTTTCTTGTGATTTAATTAATTGAGTGAGTCTCGCCTTTTGTGCGTTAAGATATGATACGAATGTGAAAACTGTCTTCCTTGATCTTCGTCAATTGATTTTCAATCGGAGAAATTAATTTTACAAAAAGAAACAAATTTCGAACATTCTTTTTATTGTTGTATCTCTTAATTGGCATTATTAATTTAGAGTTTAAATTTTTAATTTAATTTAATTTCGCTGCTAATTATTAGCATAATGGAATCAAAAATTTATGATAATCATAATAGTATTATCGTAAAATATAATAATATATATTTTTACAACATATATTATATGTGCTATTTTATCGTAAATCCTTAGTTTTTAAACTAAATTGAAAAATACCTGCAGAAATTATTCCGTTCAACATTCAAGCACTGTTTAAACACATTTAAATATTATAAAATTATGATATTTGAGAGGATCTATAGAGTCATTTTATATAAGAAGCTTTTATACTTTTACACTTTAAACGCAAAGAATATTGCTTTTATAGTTTAAATACAAAATATTATTTCTTTCACATTCACGGAAGATATAGCGAAAGATTTCCTCAAAAATCTGAAGTCGATCGAGGAAAACAGTGATCATATTCGTCCAGAAAAGTTTACAAAAATCACTTATTAGTTACTTTAAAGTATGATCGGTCGATAGACTTTAGAAAATTTGCTCCAGAA